AGGAAAGGAAAGAACTGGCAACTTAAGCCTGACTCTGGAGCAATTCGATTCCCTTAGACTCTTGGGAGAGGCAGTAAAGTGGTGTTAACTTGTGATGTGTATTAATAAAATTTGCTTAGAACATATTTATTTTTTTTTCAATGAAAGTTGTTACCCTCAGCACGTCTTTATTTCTTCAAAGAAAGACTTGGTGAATCGGAATACAACATAGTCTGAAGTGAGTTGCCAGTCTTTCTTTTATTCTAAATATAAACAGTATAAATACTTCTTTGTTCTGAAGGAGACAAACATGCTGGTTCATAATGATCTCGTCTACGCACTGATTGACATGCATTAAGTTCCAGTTTCTGGGGGACAGGGACAGGAAACTTATTATACTATGCATGGGAGGGAACATTTGTCAAATTTGTGAATAATACAGGAAATCTCATCGTAGGATCGAAATTTCATTATGGGGTACCCTGGGCACAGCTTGCAATATGAGGGACCTCACACATCAAGACTTTCTGTTACAAGCTTTTTGTGACCTTGAAGGTTTCTCCTTCAAGGCAAAGTGCTGAGCCGCTGGCAGTTCAAACTCCAGAAAATTGTCACTGCAAATTCATACAATTAAATGGTCCATCTCTCATATACGAAAATTTAACTCAGGACCAGGACTTGACTGAATGATCACTAGAAACTAGTTGACACCGAAAAATAATAGCTCAAATATAAAAATCGGCTCATTAATAAACACTGATAAACTCATTGAAAACTGCTCGATAGGCTCTGTTTTATGCTACCATGTACCATGCAATTTAGTCTTAAATTACATATTTTGATAGGCCTTGAAAAGCACTATAAAAATCTTTATCTTGTTTTTTAAATTAAATAACTGCAACATTATAGGGGCAGATGTATGTGTAATGCGCGGGAAACACGGAGGGGTAAAGCCTTTCTGAGGTTACAAATTATGGCAATCTTTGTCACTTCTGGCTGAAGTCCCAGAAGACAGGATGCAGCCAATGTATCAGAGTGACTCATGACTTTCTTTAAAACGGTAATCGAGGCTGAGCTGACCTGATTTCCACGTTAAATCTTCTAAAAACTATGACAACGGTAGGGATTATCGTGGATTCTGGTAGAATGCTAGTAATGGGATTGTTGCTTCTGAATACCGCAACGCCACATAGAATATGCATGAGATGAGTAGAACCGAGTTATAAAAGAAACACCAAGGACACTATGGATGGCATGATGTGTGAGTATTTTTACATTTGGGAACGCAGGCGAGGTTAGAAGCGTGGGAAAGGGAAGTAATTGAAGGGCAAGTGTAAACGGCCCAAGAAACTGAAGTGGACTCAGAGAGCTAACATTTTATTTCAAAATAAAATGTGCCTTGCTTCAAAGTCTAGACAACGTGATCCAATTACGCGAATTGATTTTAGGATTATTGGAAATTCGATGTTAAATGACAGAGAGAGCGGGATTAAAAATTTAAGACTGAATTTTCCGGGATCGCCAATAATTCATGAAATTAAAATCTAAAAAAGAAAGAAAAAACAGCAGTCGGTGCTCGACAACGACATATTGACTCACGAATTTACATAATAACCTCTGCTGCCAAAATAATACAAACCAATTAAAAAATATACTTACTAATATAATATGCAACGAACTAAATGAACGCTATTCACTTAGAGTGGCAAAGCACAGTACCATTATCGGATACAGACATATATGTTGGCTAAATATCGAGGACAAGATTCAACATGGAACATTACCTTCCTAATCTGATTAAAAGTCACTTCGAAGTTTCAGACACCATATGCCATGTGACCTGATGGATGAACGGACATCCCGAACGGGCACATCCACAAGGACCATAAATAGGAAAACATAAGACGAATACTTAGGCAAAGTGACTTGAAATATTCGATATACATTCATAATCTAAATGTTTAAGAATATATCTATAGCGTTTAAGGTGTAAATATAAATTGTCCATTATATAGAGCTGGTTATACGACGTACTATTATCTAATAGTCATGAATTTTCAATAAAACTCTTCCAAACAAGTGAAAAGGGATTATATAATAGTTACCCTTTAAATATTTCAGTTTTCTGCTAGACACGAGTATGTACGTTTTCTTTCATTCTCGGCTTTTTCTCAGTAACACCTTTATCTTATGAGGCGCTCATGCTGCTCCTCTCACCTGGTGGCGGAGCGGACCATCGGCCCACCACCACTCAGCCCCCAGCACCACCGCCCATTTTACTGACCCCGACATTTAACCCTGGCTTCGATTGCCAAATTTAAAAATCAACTTACGGTCGTGCAGAAAAAATACGAAATGTTTAATCGATAGAGGCAGTCTATCCAAAAAAATACTATATAGTACGGAAAATACATTATCTTTCAGATATAACATGACGGTGAGCATAATCAAGAATGAAACCTAAGATCACTTTAAAGAATTTAGACAAGGAAAGGCGTGGCTCAGCGGTGGATCGAATGGT